TTCGCGTGGGGCTTGATGGGCAGCTGCCAGGCTGAGCACGGCCCACCTGAGCCATGCTTGGTTTCTCTGTAGTATGTGTGGCCTTTTGGCATGGTCTCTCACATAATTCATTAGACTGGCACTTGCAAATCACAGCATAATTCCCTGTATTCCTGCTTTACCTTCTCCAGCAAAGGACACTCTTACTCAAGTAGGCAGTGTAGTAATAACTGTCTATGTAGGCAGAAAATACCAAACATGGGATTCTGAAAGGATGATCTTGGCACAGCACTTTTTAGGAAAAAAAGGAGTTCAATCAATCCTGTGTTTACCCTTTGCTTTCCCAGTGACTGTGCTCCCGGCCACTTAAAGCGATACCCTCCCTCCCACTCTGCACCCTTGCCAGCTCAACAGCTGGTCCCGCTGGGCAGTGGGGTGGAAGGATGGACAGATGGATGGATACGCACACATGGATAAGTGGATGTAAGAAAACCTGTCCCTGGATAAAACGAACCACTACCCCACCACCCTCGATCATGTTAGAGGTCATGTTAGGCCAGGGTGTCCCTGGAAGGGCCTGCCTTGCCCTGCTGATTACAGTGCAAACCTACAGGACTAATTCACTCTAATGTTCTGTTTCCCTTGACTCTGCTTGGTTGTCAGCACAGGGGTGGCTCTGTCCAATGGTGGTGGTCTGTGTGTCCCAGCTCTTCCTTAGGTTTCAAGCTACAGCTTGGTCTGTTCTGCAGATTTGCAAAAACATGGTTTTTTCCCTGTGTCTTGGTACAAATCCAGTCGTTCAGGGAAAAGATATTTTACAGTCTCCTGGTTGCTAACCCTCGTCAGTAAGGCTGTTCTCTGGTGTAGGGTCAGAGATATGTCCCCTCTTTTGCTCTTCAGAGCACCAGGGACAAGCACTCCTCCGCCCATGGATGTGGCTCACCCAGACCCTTGCTCCTGATGGGAAATAAACTTCTGAAGACTTTTCTTCCCTCCTTTTTTGAAACAATCATCCCATCCAGGAGAGTGGTTGCCATACTGTGTTCATCAGCACACGATACTTGGCCTTGTGCAAAGAAATGCCACGGGGCCCAGAGCCAAGAAATGTCTGGCACGGGCTCCTGGCTCATGCAACTGTCTTCTTAAGGGTGAAGCCCAAAGAAAAGCCCTGGCTTTCCAGCAGAGGAAGGGGTGGGTGCTGCAGGCACCCTGCATTCAGGGTGACATTCAACAGGCTGCGTTGTGGGGCCGTATAGATGACCTTTCCACAGTGGGGATTTCAGTAGCCAGAGGAATGGGCTATTAGCCATTTAACAAAGAAAAAACAAATGCTTTGCCTTATGAGGACCTAATATATTACCCCACTTGGAGAGAAATAGTTGCTTGAGGAAGACATTGCTGCTCAGGCCTCGTATATTGTAGAGAGACTTCCAATTCTGGATGTTTTGCCAAGGCTGAAGATCTTTGGATCTGAATAAATCTGACTGTGATGCCCATGATCTCGTATTTCAAGATAAGCTTTCTGAAAATACAGTGCAAATAGCTAGGCTTAATGGAATGTGACAAGGAGAAACTGCCACGGCTGCAAATCAGTTTGACTAATGCAGATCTACACCTCAAATGGTATCATCGCGTATTGCCTCTACTGATTTCAGGCTCACAGGCATCAATGTAGGTGTAAGGAAAAGTCAAATCTTCTTTTTCTACCACGGGGCCCAGTAAATCAGCTGGAGGTTGAATCACTGGAGCCGTCACTGCCCAGCACTTACACGACGGTGTAGGCTACATCACGTAGCCTCCCTCTGCAGAATAATCCCATTGCCCTTCAGAAAAGCATGTCAGCTCTGCTCCAAAGCCTCCAGCAGCTTCTCTGCATTTTGCCTCACTCCCTTTCTGAGCTTTGATGTAAATTTAAGTATGTACATAAACTGCTGCTGAGGAAGAGAAGTGTCCAGAAACATAATAGTAACACAGACACTTTCAGTAAAGGGATTTTGGTTTAAATATCAAAGAAACCTGAGCAGTATCATATTTGGAGGAACTTCAGACAATGTTTTGTCCACATGATAGCACCACTAACCTCACTCTCATCTTTTTCATGGTGTTATCCTGCCTTATATTTCCTGGCAAAGGGATTAATTTGGTATCACAGGGCTGTTGAATTTTTGTCCTATGTGTCCCACACTGTTCACACTGGTACTTTTCCCTGGGAAATGGGAAAGGTATGCTGTGCCACACCATTCCAGTTACCCTTAGCCCCCAGCCCTTGAATGGTGACATGTTTATTTTCCCCTTGCTTCTCCAAGTGTAGGATGGTGGGGGTCAGCAATTTTCAGGGTCTGTTTTGGGGATATCTTCTGCAGGAATTGAGCCCAGGGGTGGACTCTTTGTTTCAGAACCCCTCTAAATTAATTTTATTCACTTTCAGCTTTTTGTTGATGGTGTAGAGAGACTCCTGGTTCATGTGCCTCTCCTGCCTGCACAAAGGCTCTGCTTGAACGTGCACCCCTTTGCCTGGGCTTAGTTTCTGCCATGGCAGTGCTCCATGGTGTCTTTGGTTCACTCTTCTGATGCCATCTCTCCACTACTGCCCACCCCTGCAAGCGGGTGATGGGAGATCCACAACCAATACGACCTCCCCAGCGCAAAGTGTGTTTTGTCAAGAAAAAGCATCTATCACCTCCTGTGCCTGCCTTCACAGGGCACCTGGATGGGGTGAGAGAGCCCAGTGTGTTGGTCCTGCTGCCCTCTCCTCTGGACTCAGCACCAGCCCTGAGCAGTGACGTGAATATGGACATGGAGCTACAGAGACTTCTCATGTGAGTGAGTTTTCCTCTTTTTCCTTTTCTTCAGCTCACATCTATCAGCCTAAATAAACCATTTAATTAGGAAAACTAACCACTGTGCCCTTTTCAGTCTGGTCATGAACTTGATGCTCCAAGTAGTACTACCATGGCAAGGGCCTGCCTGCATGGGACAGCATCTGTGGCTCAGGGCTGCGCTGGGAACTCCTTCATGGTCGAGGGCTGCAAGGGCAGACCCTGCAGGAAGACCTGCACCCTTTCCAGTACTTCCATATAAATCATCTCATGCTTTATAGCTCTCCATCATTCCTCTCAACACCCCTCTATGTGTGGTGATTAAGGGTTATTATCCCTATTTCACAGAGGTGAAGTAAGTTGCCAAAGGCCATGGAGTGAGTCAGTGCCCGGTGCAGATTAGAGCGCAGGAGAGCTGCGCCCTGCTCCCAAGCTTGCATTTCTTCCTCAAGACGGTGCTGCATCCCTTTAGGGGATCAAGCAATTGCTTCAGCAGACTATGCTAGAACACGCTAATCCAGCAATTAACACTGGCGAGTCAATGACATGTGACATCTCTACATTGCAGGTTTATGGCTGCTGCCTGAATTGCTTCTGACAGACTGACTTCTGCCTGTCCACCCACCCACCCACTCTTCTGCCTATGATGTTATGTCCACTTATCTTTGTATCTGGCCATTCCTCCTTTCTATACATCTATCTCCTTCCCCCCTCTCCCTCTCTGTCTCTTATTTCTACTCAAGTTGCTCCCCAAACCCAAATTGAATAGAGTTTCCTGTTAAAACTTATGAGAATTTCCTATTAAAGTCTAGATCCTTTGTTTGGTCTGAGTGAAAAACTGGAAGAGGCTGAACCTGTGCTCCATGGTGTCAGGTGGGTCTGGAAGCCCGTACTTTCTCCTCTATCTTCACATCAGAAAATCTTTTCCCAGTGATTTGTGCTCAAGCCAGGTTCTACCTTATGTTTATCTGCAGGCATCTTCTGCTGAGAGCCTGGGAGGCTGGCACATTGTTTCCTTCCTGTATTGCACAACTCTCTTGTTCTGCAAACCACCCCATAGGCAAGAAATTGCACTAAGAATCAACAGGGCAGGTGGATGTTTATCCACTCTCTGTTGTGGTGCTGGGAATGTTTGGAAATGGCAGGGCAAGGACTTTGTCTTTATGGTTTCATACTCCTGTCCTGTCTTTGCAAGCATGACAGACACTGTCTACAGCCAAGCCCAGCCAAAGGAATCCTCTGAAGAGGACCATACACAGTCTGGCAGCAGCTCATGACTAAGAAACCCCTCTTTGCCCAAATCCTTTGCCCACACGTTCCTCAGGTTAATTTTTGTTGTTGTTCCAAGTGCTACTTCCTTGGGGCACCTTTGGCAATTCCGGTCCCTCCTGCTAATTACACATCAGTCATGGCTGTTTTTTATCAGACAATTTCATAATCTATCCAAAACTTAGATGTTTTGCTTCTTGAGTACTTGTCCATAAAGAAAACCCTCAGTCTCTTAACCATTTGCTCCTGAAGGTCATCTAGAGAAGCACATTGGTCTTCTAACAACTGCCACGTCAATCTCACCCTCATCTCTTTTTAAATTCTAAACACCTATCACTAACATAATGAACTATGTTAGTATAACAGTCTGGATGGTTATTGCTGCTAGCCTTGTACAGCAAAGAAAACCCAACTCCTCTGCCCCATCAGCAGCAATGACACTCAATGTTGGCTTCATGGCTCCTTCTAGTGCTGTCCAAGCAGTCCAGAAAATATTCAGTAAATTCAATTTTGGTCTAGCATGGGAAGAAAATTCTGTCCTGAAAGTGTATTTCATTCCAAATATATACCCCTTCAACAGAGTCATCCCCAGATGAGACAAGCCCTAGAAGTCCTTGGTGAAAAATTCATTTAGATCCAAAAGGTTCCTGTGATTTTGATGAAATTGCATTTTTTCCCCATAGAAATGCTGTTATAAAATTAAATGTTGCTGGTAGCTCTGTACAAGTTAAATCCTCATGCATCACCCATGGTCAGCGTGAGGACCTCTTTGGTGGACTCCATGTGGAGAACTGTAACAAGACAAGAGACTGAGATGTAAGAAGAGTACCACTGACTTGAAGAATGCCACACTTGGAGGGCTGGAGAAGATCTGGGCTCTCCTGTATGCTGCAGCTTCCCTCAGCTGCAGGAGCAAGTGGCAAGGCTGTAAAAATACCACTTGGCTAAGGGCAACCCATACTGTGAATTATGATCAGCTGCTGCCAGATTTCTGTTGGCTTTGTGACATGTGCCATAGGATCTGGCAAAACACGAGAGTTATTGGGGTGTGCTACGAGATCTGAGTCATAATTCCGTGCTGCCCTGAGGATCTTTCTGCCTTTCTTATATAATCCAATGTTTGTTTACTGTCATTGCTTTGGAGATAATACTGCAATACACAGGAACATCTACCCACAGGGAGTGCTGTTCCAGCAAGGTGAGTTCAATGGGTTACTGCACAGCGCGTGCTACTAAGGTAGTTCAGACCTAGTTCAGTGGGTTATGCTGTTGCATGATGAACAGACATTTGGCATCCCTGGCTGGCTCACACCAACATTCAAGTGAGCCCCTATCCAGGCTCCTTGGATTTTCCCACAGAAAAGACTATTCATGGAAATCCTCCCAGCATCCAAGTGTCTTGAAAGGCAAAGAGCTGAATGCTATAGCATGCAGGGAAGCTCTTCCATGGTGACTTTGTCTCCCATGAGGACCTGGGATCTATACTAGTGTTGACTAGAGGTGGCTGCAGAACAAACAGAGATGAAGGGAGGCAGAAAGCGTCACTTGGCAACCCGTGGAAGGACCCACCTCAGCAAGGTCCTGAAGGAGAAGAGAAACTTTAAGCATGGTCCATACCAGACTCAGTGAAGCTGCTTATAATCAGATCTATGCAGCAAATAAAACAATAGGCAGGATAAGACTGGTCTGATGCTCCGCCTCTTCAGCTTCCTATTGCATGTCTCACCAACATCCTATTTCACCTATTCCATATTATCAGTTCATTCATCCTCCCGACAGCTCCTACTTGCTAGGACACTTCTGCAGAAATCTTGCCTCAATGTTCCCTCTTTCATAGTTCTTCCTGTATGGCCCTCTTCTGAGGCTGTGAATAGTGCCCTTACCATGAACATCACCACCAAAGACGATGGCATCCTCCAGTTCTGTATACTGGTCTCTGGAAGAGCTCTGTAGATATCCATGTATGCATTAGGATATGGTTTCACCTCTACTTGCATCTATGGGTCTGCTTAGGACAGCATGACTGCTTTGGAGACAGCATGAAACAGCAAATGGGATAGTCCACCACAGTTACCTTTTGTAAATAAAGGACGGTCCCTTTAAGCACAGCATAAAATTTCTTCCAACCTCTTCTTCCTCTGGGAGCTAAAAAAAGGAAGAACATTTAATTATACATGTCTGCTTCTGCCACTGCTGCTTGACCTTCACATTTCTGGCAAAACTAACCCTTCTGCTGACCCACCACAGGCATGCACTGTTGCCCAGACCTCATACACCTCCAAGCTATTGCTTATGAGTGGCTTCTCTGCAGGGACATGTGTTTGAGACACGGGCTGGGAGATGCAGCCTCCCAGCAGGAACACAAGCAGGTCAAAACCATAGATGAGCTGGTATACGTGTACCAGTGGACACATGCTCTCTGCTCCTACAAACCCAGGTTCAACTTCCTTGGACTAAATGCTTGAGGAGCAGAGACATTCCCTTAGGTCCTCTGCTTCAGATGAGTTAGGCATAGCCACAGACATACCCTGGATAAGGCAGTTTCTGTTCCACAGAGGAGGGAGCATTACCACCAGCCATCTTGATGGACTTGGGGATAGAGAGCTTGAGAGCTTGCTGGAAGCTGGAGAGGGGCAGGAGGTGCGGGGAGCCATCTACATCACCACAAGACAACTGATCTTCCGGTCATGGGCTATTAAGAAAGTGCTGGAAGCAAGGGAGGCCTTTGGTGGTAATCTCTACTCAAGACTTTTAATCAGCTGCAGTGATTGGGCCAATCATATCAACTAGCAAAAGGGGTTATCCAAGGTTTCATTAATCTCTGTTCATTAACAGTTCCCAAATATATTTTCCTTTACCTTTCCTGTAATCTCATGTGCTGACAGCAGAGCTATGATTGTCCCCAAGGTCAGGGCTGGGGTGGACAACTGTTGTGGAACCAGCCTCACCCCATCGCTCAGAGTGTGGGGTTCAGGACTATGCCCATGAACAGGATGGAAGATCAGGTCTATCTGTATGGGACAGGCACTGTTAGGTTCCTTGGCAGTGAGAAGGGAAGACTGAAGCCTTCTGAAAACATTCATGTCTACAAATGCCTCTACACATGGATCTGGGGATCGCTCTTGTGTCCCCTGGGATGCAGTGAGGAAACGCCTTCAGCGGGAGAGCCAGGGAGAAGGCTAGGGCAAGGCTCTGGTACTGCCTGGGGCACATCTCCTCCTGTCCCGTTAACACGTACTTCTCTTCCCATCCATGTCTGCATGGGTTTTACGCGTGAGGACACCGTGCTTGTAGGTGATTGCGTTCAGCGCTTGGGGGATGTCCAGGAAGGGGTTGCTGCTGTCAACAATCCTTGTCACTTTCTTCGCACTGGCTCCAAATTTGTCATCTACCAGCTCCGAGAGTGATTTCCTCAACTCGTCCTCATCGCTTGGAAACAAAGTTAGAGAAGAGATTGAGTGGAGGACATGTGGGTTGGGTCACAGTGTGCCCTATCTGCTTTGGGTTTAAAGGGAGTTTTTTATTACAAGACTAATCAGAGAAAGAAAATGAAAGGAGATGCAGGGACTGTAACACGCAGTGTGCCAATGGTGGTCATCTGGACATAGCTGGGAGGAGCATGGGTGGCAGGTAACTGTCCCAGTGGTCCCACTGTGAGGTTACTCAAACCAGATAAGGTAATGGGCACTTGTCTGAACACCAGGAAACTACAAGCATTTCACAGGGGTAGTCTCCATTTCTGTGCCCTAAAATTGGAGCTTAAGGAGGTCTTTTGCTGAAGACCAGGTATCACTGGCGTTTCTCATCCTCTGAGAGGTAGCCCCTGGGGCCTCCTAGATACTGAAAGAGCTTGAGGAATGTCTTGAGCATATCTGAGGAACAAAAGTTCCACAGACATTAGGGAGATGGGCCACTTGATCAAAAAACCACAAACCCTGGAACAGGTTATATGTCAGCCCCCCATTCGTGTCCTCAGGGTGGGCCAGCAGAGAGCAAGAAATGCTGGTGATTTCCATAAAAACTGCTTTTCCTCTCAGATCTCCTGGTGCTGGACCTTGGACAGCAAGGACTTAGCAGCTTCGGGAAGTGGCCACTGACTCCACCAAGCCTGCCTATTCCTGTTTGGAGTAAAACGTACTCTGGCGCAGAGAAACTAGAACTTGTATGGAAAGTGATATTTCCCAGTGTCCTTGGGACATTAAGGAGAGAGAGCAAACAGGGAATTTCTGCCCTGTGTGATACATGTCAATGTCTAAATGGTACGAGTGGTCACCTTAGGTTGCAGATTAGATTGGGACCAGACCTCAGCTGAGGAGTGACCTAGCAATGAATCCACTAGCTGGGATGTGAGCAGTAAAATACCACACTTCCCCACATGCAGCAAGTAGATGGCCAAAGCATCAGACACCTCTTGGAAGAGAAGGATGATTTCTCAGCTCTCAGCACCCACAGGAGTCCTGGGGCTTAGGCAGAGCCCAGACGCTACACCTGGGTGGGCAGTTCATGGGGCTCAGTTCTCCAAGCTGCACCAGAGGGACCCCTCTGAGATCCTGCTTGCTGCTGGGGTGATGGCCATATACCTGCCTGTCCGGTTGGGCTTTCTGAGCAAGGGCATTTCATTCCCTGGGATGGACAAGGACAGAAGGCAGAGGCAAGCAGGGAGAAGAGGGTCCTGGCTGTGCAAGGTTACGACTCAGTTCCATGTCTCTGAAAGAAAACCAGGTACCTCATGTCAGGCAGCATCCGTCCCATAGCAGAGGAGCTGAGAGGTCTCTCATGTTGCAGCCTCTCCATCTGCAACCAAGCAGGACACCCTGCAGCAAGGCAGGTCCCAGGCTGGTGTGGGCTGAATGAGGGGGTGCAAGGATACAAGCAGAGTGTGTGGAGGAGGGCAGGAGGGGGGCCAGATGCTGCTGACTGGAACTGCACCACTGCAGCCGGACTTTGGGGGGCCGACATTGCTGGGATGTGTGCTGGCAGGCGTGCAACCACTGCCTGCATCCAGCTGGCAGATGCACTTCTGCTAAACTCCTCTTACATAAACCGTCCCGCCGGCACCTTCTGCGGAGCTACAGAGCTCCCTCTCGTGACTACGTCCACCCACCGACACGGTCTCTGCTGCAGAGATGGCATTGCTGCTTTCCTCTCATACAGACACCACACAAGATGATTATTTTTAAAGTGAAATTGATGCTACACGACTCACTAAGAAACCACTGCCCTTCCTGGACCACCGAAGGAGACACCAGCCCACAGCGAGCACTGCTACCATCAAGGGGTATGGCTGGCAATGGAGGTTCCTGCTCTGCAGTTTCCCCAGGTAGTTGAGGAGGAAGGTAGGATCAGACAATGTCAAGACACTTTTCTGGCCAGGACAATATGAGGAGAGGGGCAGGTGATGGGGCTAATGGCCCAGAAAGTCCTGCTCAGTCCTGCGACCCTCTGGAGACAAGACAGGTCTGAGGTTAAGAACGAGGAGAGGAGAGGAGAGGAGTCCACTGTGTTAGCTTAAGGCCCCAGGTCTGTCATAGGCTTCCCCATGGCAGCAGTGGGGGGTGTTGGGGCTGGGGAGCACCGTGCACCCCTTGCTGAGGGTCCTGGCCAGTGCTCTGGGCAGGGGGTGGGTAGCAGAGCAGGGGAAGGGCTGAGGAAGGTGATGCATGAACTTGTCATGGAAGCCACCACGCAGCTGTTCCCAGACTTGTGTCAGGGTAACAAATGATGATCTGGAGGAGGAGACAGAGTGCACCTCATCAAGTTTGTGGATGACATAAAAATGAGAGGTACAGGGCAACCACTTAAAGGGCCAGAAGCCTCACTAAATGCCGCACCCCAGTACTGCCCTGGGGTGGAGTGGTCCTGCAGAAGGCTGGCCAGGCTGACTGGCTGGGGAGCAGCTTTGCAGAAAAGGCTCTGGGGCTCCTGGTGCACAGCAGGATGAACAGGAGCCAGCAGTATGTCTTGGCAGAAAGAGGCCAGGAGCATTCTGGGCTGTGTAACAGCATCATGGTGAGGAGGCTAAGAGAAGTGAGCATCCTCCTCTATTCTGCACTCATTACATCATGTCTTGATACAGCAAACAGTATTGGGTCCTCAATAGAGGGAAGGGCATCAACAAGGCAGAGAGGGTTCAGC